AAAATACGATATAAAAATGTAGGCTACGGTTCTTTTACTAGATATGCGTAATTTAGATATGGTACAAAATATATATGGACAAAGTTTTGGGGGAAAAACTTACAACATTTCAAAACGGTTCCAGCCTGACTTTGCATCAATTCAGTAGAATGGCCCATATAAAAAACAAGGCAGTTGTATAATATGATATAGTTCATATTTATTCTATTTAGATGTTGCATTAGTAGTGAACACCTTAGAAAACAAGTTTCTAACATCACCAGCCCCCTGCCAGCGGAACCTTTGTCACTCGGCTAGAGGGGAAGTGTTTCTGGGAGGGACCGCTCCGCTGTTTAATTCCGGTGAAAGGCGGAGGTGGCTTGTGGAGGTGACCGAATGGCAGACAGCTGAATAATTTTGGAAATAAAATATTAACGCTGAGCAGAAGTAAACTAAATATCAATTTTGTTGTTGACAGTGTATAATCATCGTTGTTGCCATGGGAGCTCACCTGGTGAGACGGTATGTCACCGAGACGGACACCGAGCCGGACCCGACCAAGAAGTACGAGTTCGACCCCCAGTTCGGCTTTGAAGAGAGGGAAGCGAGAGGTTTGTCACATTAATGCACCATACAGTGTGTTTATAAACACCTGGAGAGAAACAGAGTCCATTGCCCTCGTATCTCGGCTCGTCTTACGTTAGCCGAGCTAGGGTCGAGCTAATGACAGCATTAGCTTTAGGCTAACTGAGGTGCTCAGTGTCAAACTGCTGCAGATCTGTGCTCACTTTGTGCTGCTTTCCACCATAGGCTCCTGTTTTACATGCATTATATCGATATTATAGTTTTATTCTTACATTCTGTAACTGTTATAATCTCAAATATTGGGATATTTGTATATGCTATCCCTTATTTCAAATATTTAGTGACATACCTGTCTTGATGAATGTTTATTTATACATTGTCAGTGACCATAAATATTTTTTAAGAAACCACAAAGGAGCAAAAAGCATTTAACATGAAGAATGACTGACCTAAACAATACACAAATCCAAAAACACGTCAACACAATTTAGGAGAAACTACAAAGAAACTCCCACAATAAAAGACAACAGTTAAATCATTGAAGAATTCACTATAAACACGTTACACTGTTCATTAAAAGCCCTAACCTGAATTCTATATTGATATTTACAGATTGGCTGTTGCGGTAAACCAGGGGCAAAATCACTGTTATCTGAGAACAAAAATACATATATAGAACGTAGCTCATATGATGCAGCTTCTGTTGTTTTTAAAAGTCACACATAATCAAGAATATTTCAATATTCATATTATATGTTTATACTAAATTGGCAGTGAACTCTATCTGTTCTATCTATCTATCTATCTGCAAAGTAAGGTGTATATAAGAACTACATTGATGGCTTTTGCAGATGCATACACAATTGTAATTCTTTAAATAAAAACTGATTGAGATGATATATCTTAAGCAAAAATGTTCAGAAAGTTAGTGTAAGTGAACCTGACTTAAAAAAAGTCTCCTTTTACATAGACCATTTACAATCTAGATTGAGTATGTTTTATTGAAATGGCACTGTGGCATGAATGTGTTTTAATAGTGTCTTGTATTTGTAAATGAGGGTTCTAAAAAAACTTCAGTATAATAATTCAAATCTCTGTATCTCTGTAATTGGACCACCCTTAAAGGTCACCTATTGTGCAAAATCCACTTTTTCATGTCTTTTCTACATCAACATGTGTCCCCTCTGTGTAAAGAGATTCTGAAAGTCTCAGGAAAAAATATTCTGTCTCTTTTTGTCCTGATCCATTTATATAAAAATCTGTCTGACAATGAGCTGATCAGACTTTGGCCACTTTATGATGTCATAATGATGTTTTGGCTTGTGTAACCATTAGCCAATAACCAACCAAGGTAACACCCGCCCCCCACCTTATCACCTGAATCTCCTCCTAGAGCACCATTGTGTTCTTTTTAACCAAATATCTTTCAGAGGGGCGTGGGGAGTGCTCCTTATTTTCATCTAAAGTAACAGACAGAGAATCAGCACTTTTGAAACAGGGCTGAAACAGAGGGGATTATGGGATGCTGCAATGATCTGTTTTGTGTTTGGAGCCAAACAGATCAGAGACATGTTTTGTATACATCTGAGAATATATTGATGAAAAACAGTATAATAGCAGACCTTTAAGACTCCCAAAGTAAATGATATAGTAACATCAGGTGCTTGAATTGTAAGATGACCATGAAAATGTGTTTACCTTTGCCAGAGATGGTAGCCACCCAGGATCAGATGAACATGGCCATGCTGCCTCTGGAGCAGAGGGACTACTGTGCCCAGCACCTCCTCAAGCTCATGAAGTGCAAGAGGGACAACTGGCCCAACTTCCTGGCCTGCAAGCATGAGAGACATGACTGGGACTACTGCGAACACCAGGAGTAAGTGCTGACAGCCGAGTAGAATTTTGACATTTAAAAGGTCGGGGTTAGGCGCTCTTAGCAGACGCACAAATATAACCAATGAAACTGGGCCTCTAGGTCTAGTCCTTTAATTCCAAATTTGAAAAATACAATACATTTGTTTTCAGTGATAGCACAGGAAAACCCAAACTAATGAAACTGTCTGTTTTATGGCCTTCATATATACAGCTTTACTTTGTTTCAACAAGGTCGAGTTAGTAGCTGTTATGGTGCTTTAAATGGTATCACACATCTATGCTTCTTTAACAGTTGTCGTGCAATTGTAGCTGTTGACATAGGGCTGCTCGATTATGGCAAAAATCATAATCTCGATTATTTGGGTCAATAATTGTAATTGCGATTATTCAGACTTTGAAAACATCAATTTATTGGAGAAACAATGTGAACAGTATGTTTTTAACAGTTGATTACCCTGAACTTTAAGTATAATTCAACTGAAAAACAAAAAAAATACATAATAAAAAAATAATCGTTTTATTTTCGCGATTTAAAATAAGATTTAATGAGCAGCCCTGTTAACATTTACATTTTTGTGAGCATTATAAGGACTTCTCATCGATATGTGTGATCTTATTAGCTAATTTCCCTTTTTGAAATCACAAACAACTCCATGTTTTTTTTTCAAACTTTCGACAGTTTCCTACTAACAATATTTAATTAAGAGACAAGTGTAGACCTTTTCTAATCTTCAGTTTTGAGGGTAAAACGTAAATCTTGAGATGATATTTACCCACCTTGTCATTAACCCTGCTCTCTGTGGTTTTCTGTCTCCAGCTACGTGATGCGTATGAAGGAGTACGAGAGAGAGAGGAGGCTCCAGCTGAGGAAGAAAAGAATAGCGTCTCAGCCTGAAGCTGCATGATCACAGCTGATGCTTCTTCTCTGTATATATGTGCCGCTGTCCACAATAAACACGATTGTTTAACCTCTACCATCATCTGTCTTATTATTGTTAAAACATACAATAATCCCCTGGATGATGTCACTATGAAGGTGGGTGCGACCTTTATTTACCTAAGAGCGTTTGATGGAGGTTTTGACCTGATTCAGGAAATGGTTTAAATGTCCTCTCCTTTTTGATCTTGTCCAGGATTTGTCCTTCTTTGTACTGTGGTTAGAACCCATGTTTACCAGAACATGAATATCATAACATTTTGATTATGCAAGTAAATATAATTAATGTATTTGTCGGCTAAAGAGAGATTATCCGTCCATTGAACCCAAATAAGACTAAAAATAACCTTGAACACTAGAACTTGGAGAATGATATTGGATGCATTCAGCTGCTTAATGGCCTAAATAAGATGCCTTTTGATTTTCCTGTAAGACCAGTTCTTACATTCTGTAAAATCACGTTACCTTCAAGTTTATTTAAAATTACGTTTTTTCTTCTTGTAACATTTTTTGGTAGGATCTCCAATGTTTGTGCGTACCAGATAATTTACACATCACAACACCTGCCGTATAATGATAAGGGGGTGTTACCTTTCATTAATTATCAAGAGGGATTCTTCATTCAGTACGCCTGGGTACGAGTAGATAACAATTATAAAGGACGTTGCTGTATCTGGAGTGTTATTTTCTTTCCTTCCTAAAATATACATTTAATAAATGTCGAAATGCAAGTCCATCACCATTTTATCATAAAGAAAAATTCTATGACTCGAGGTATTCACGTTTGTTTTGTATTTGGTAACCAAAAATTACTCAGTTGTTCCTATCTGACAATTTCTATTTACATTTGAACCCAAACTAAGCCCATCAAATCTGCAGTGCATTCGTGTAAAAAGCTCAAGGATAACCACACTGGTAAAAATACACAGAGCGGCAACTGAATCACAAACAGAGCAAGACAATCATTAGTTTTACATTTTTTTTATAAATTACTTCAAACATCAACAAAATGACATGCTGTTATGATTTCAAATGTAGATGAATGGATATAAAAACTAAGCCTTTTGACATTTGACTGAATCTCACCGGATGCAGATTCAGCCTCAAAACCACAGAATTAGATGACAGCGTGGTAAGACACTATTTATCGACAGTATGTCATTCAGGATACACTGGCTCGTTTGAAGGTCAAGAACAGCTCTTGGAGACCAAACACACATAAGTCAATTAATCAATCAGAATGGGTTATGGGGAAAAGAAAAAAATAGAGAAAGCGTTGGTGCTTTACATTTTCACTCAATATTACAGGAAGCAAAAGAGGGGGAAAGAAAAAGGGGACATTATTGAAGCTAGTCAGTCTCCTAAGCTCCAGTGTAAAACGGAGAGCCCCCTCTCAGTTAGCGGAGAGCTGAAGTGTTGAACTCTACAGGATGAAGGGCAGGATGGGGGAGCGGAGGGGAGGGTAATCGCGGAACTCCTTCAGGTAGCTGCGGTGCTTCCCTTTGGCCCACACAGTCATCTGGATGAAACCCACCAAGGTGAAGAAGGCCACCGGCAGGCACTGGGTCATCAGTGTGAAGCCCAGCCAGGAGCCCAGCTGCAGAGGAGGAGGAGGAGGAGGAGGATGGTTACACACAGACCCATACCACAAGAGGGCAGCAGTGTATTTAACTCTGTGTTCATTCAAGGGAATACAGAAGGACAACCTAATCCAGTGGATTTATCTCAATTATCAAACAATAAATAATAGTTTGATGCTGAAAAAGGCATCAGTAAGCATTTGAAGAAAAAATGATCTTACCTCGTAGGTGTAGTTGGGGCAGGAGACCAGCACGAAGATCCAGGTGAAGGGGTTCTTGGTGGGATAGGGAATCTTCCTGGTCTTAGAGCCTAGATGAAGGTAGCAACAAAAGGAAATGTCAATCTAATATGACTTTTTATTACATTTTAATAGCATTCTATACCATGACATTTGTAGCTCCGCCAAGTTGAAGTACAGGTGTTACTGTTGTTTGTACCTGGTGGACGGAGGTTCCGCAGAGCGATGTGGATGGAAAAGTTGCCGATCTGACAGAACTAAGAAAGAAAAAATACAATAAATAAAAGAGAAAACCAT